CTCCCCGTCCTTCTCCCCCGGCCGCGGCGGAGGGCAGGGAGAGCGGCTTTGTTAAACTAGGACAATGCGATGCGTCCCCCCCCCCGCTAATGACAGACCGTTCCTTAGCAACGCAGGGGGGGATTTTCAGAGAAGATCCGAGCGCCGGGATGAGGATATAAACTCTGCTCTTCTCCCTCCCGGGGAACTCACCAAAGAGGCGCCTCTCCTTTTGTCCAGCGTCTAATTTTTGCGTACGAGAGGCAAGCGGGAAGTCTGAGAGAGCGGCTCCCCGATGGCTGGCTGGCTGCCTCCCCCCGCGCCCCCCCTGCCCGGGCGCCCCGCTCCCCCCGTACACGCTACGGGCATCATTTAAAGGGAAGCCCCGAGTGGGATCAGTCAGCTCCCTGCGTGCGTATGCAGGTGCCTGAGGAGGGGACCGGTGGGCAGAAGGGTGATCCAGGCAGCCGGGGCTTTCCTCCTCCGCCTACACCTTGAGGGAAAGTAGCTTTCGTCTCTCATTTTTTTTTTTTTTTTTTTTTTTTTTTTTCGGTTCTGACTTTGGGCAAGGGAGGGAGGGAAAGCAGATTGTGCCCAACTCCTTGCTGAGATGAAACGGTCGATGAGAAGAGGTCTCCTTGTCACAGGCACAAAGGCCACCTCCGCCTGGCAGCATGGTGCTGAAATCTAACCCTAGCATCATTCTCTTGTGCTCTTTCCTGCCCAGTGACTACATCATTGAGGAGAAGACGGCCGTGCTGCAGAAGAGGGAGCATGAGGGATTCGGGTTTGTGTTGCGAGGGGCCAAAGGTAAGGGCTGCTTCTTTCGCCGGGTCCCGGGGCTGGGAGGGAAAGCTCCTTCTCCTGGCTCTGGCTGCTGCCGGGGACCCCTTTTGGCTGCGCCAAGCTGCATGGGGGTCTCCGGGGGGAGTCTCCTCTCCCTCTCCTGCGGCTGGGCAGTGGCTCCTCCCGGGGCCGTGGGGAGCAGGGACAATGCCCCCCGGGGCAGACGTGCTCCTCTGGCACCTCCCGGGGCGTTCCTGGGTGCCGGTGTTGGTGGCTCTGCCTTTGTAGAGTTCTCTCTCACTCCTGCCGGTTCCCCGGGCGTGCGAAGCGCGTGTGCTGTGTCTCAGGTGTGGATGGGAGCCCCGTGGGGCAGGGCCCGTGTCCTCCATGGCTTTTTGTTTGGTTTTTTTTTAAATTATGCTTGAAGTATTTCACTATCCTTTGGCTGGGTGGAGCTGGGGGTCCTTCTCCTGGGAGCCCTGGCTGTGCTGGGGTTCAGCCCCCGTGTGAGGGCACGCCAGTAGGTGTCTGTCCTGCAGCCCCCACCATTCCCTCCACCCTGTGGTGCCCGGCAGCCTCTGCTCCCACCCGGGGCACGCGTCCCCTGTGAGCCCTGGAGCCCCTGAGCTCCTGCAGCTGGTGCCTTGGACCCACTTGTCACCGGGGGCTCCTCTTGCCAGAAACCCATCGTTTTTGCTACCAAGAAAAATAAAAAAAGAGTCCCTTGGGGACTGGTAATGAAGGTGCTCGTGTTCATGTAGGGACAGGCTCGAGCAGGTCCACCTCTGGCTGTGGGGTTCTCTCTCCTGCAGGCTGGGGAGAGGTGGGGGATGTCAGGAAGGCAGCTGCGGGCAGCGGTGCTGCCTCCCTCCCCTCCCTGCACCCAGGCTGCGAGATGCAGGAGGGAGAGCGTAACCGGGCGGCTGCCAGCTCCTGTGGTGGTGCTGCTCCTCTCCTGGACCTCAGCGTGCCTGAAGATGGTTGGGATTTGGGCTTTAGACTTGGGTCTGGTTTTCTGTGGGGCTTCCTGAAGTGTCTTTGTTCTGTCCGTGTCGTGACAGGGCTGTGTGCCGGTGGGTGTGTTTGCGTCCCTGTCGGAATATGGTTGCTGTCTCTTCCTCCCCTTCCCTAGGTGTGTGACATACGTGTCTGTCCGTGTGCTGCTCACATCGGTCTGTGTAATGTGAAGTGAAACTTCAGGGCTCAAAATGGCATCCATTTTTTTTTTTTGCCAGATCAGACTTGCAGCTATTGTGTTTGGAAAAACGGGATAAATCTTGTCCTGCTTCCTTTTCTCTTTCTTTTTTTCCTTGCATTCCCTCCCTCCTAACGTTTGCGGGGTCTGTATTTCCTTTGTCTGCTGATGCTGAAGGAGAGGACTCGGAGGGGATGAGGCAGTGGGCGTGATGCTGTGTGGGACCGGGGTCTGGCTCGGGGTCTCGCAGCCGGCGTTGCTGCAGGGGGCACCGAGCAGCACGGGGCTGCAGAGGCCGTGGCTCGGAAGCCCTGGCAGGGTGGGCACGGTCTGTCATGCCCACCTGAGTCTGCTGAAGCCCCTTGGGCAGCTGAGTGTGGTGGCTCTGAGTCACCCCCACATTTCCCAGCCGCTCAGCCGGGTGCTTTGTGCTGCCGTGGGGTTTAAGCTGGAGGGAGCATTGGGACTCTGTCTTGGCCCCGTCGGTGTCACCACCGCTCACCCTTCCTTTAGACACTGTGTGCAAACGCCTTGTGGGGTGAAACGGAGAAGGGGTCTGAAAACGGGAGGGACCAGAGCATCAGCAAAGTCCCTGCAGAGGGAGGGAGCTGGTTTTTAGGTGAGGCTCAGCGGGGAGATCCTCAGAGGAAACTGCACTTGGTGCTGCAGAGGATGGTGAATATCCTGCATGGCTGCTAGCGCTCTGCCTGAGGGTTGGTTCCTTCCCAATCCCAAATTTTCCTGTCTGTGTGAGCTGCCCTATCAGCTGCACCCCCGGCAGAGACCGTGCTCCATCACCCCGGGGAGCTGGTCCTTCCCAATCTGTCCCATCCCCACCTCTGTCCAGAACTGGGAGGAGGTGATATCCCAGTCAAACCAGCTGAGCGTTCAGACAAGGGTTGTTTTACCCTGGTCCCTGCAGGGGATGAGCTGCAGCTTTTGGACGTGGGACTCGCCTGCAGCCACTGCCTGGGGAGTCACGTGGAGCAGATGGGAAGGGGTGTCGCAGCCCCTTCACGCAGCGCTGTGGTGGAAAGCGAGGAGCAGGTGGACTCACCTCTTCATTTCTTGGCCCAGAGAGACCCTCCCTGCCTCTCACGTGTGCAAATGAGAGACCTGGGCTCGAAATGTGGAAAGATGGTATTTCTTGGCTTGTAGTGTCTTCTGTGCCTGGACTGGAGCAACCTCTGTCTTCCTGGCTGACCTGACCACAGATCAGGCACTGTCTATTTACTAACAAGATTCATAAAATATTCACACCTACTTCCCCGGGGCCATCCCTGTAAGCAGTGGTTGTTACAGCTGATACGGTGACTGCCCCTCACATGGTCTCAGCAGATCCACGCTGCCGGTTTCCTGGGCAGAGGAATGGTGTTCTGGGGCCAGTTCATGCTCACTGGGGTCTGGGCATGGTGGGTTCTGGGGAAGTGCTAGAGGGACATGCAGTCCCTGACTTGGGAATTTACTCTCTAAGAACGGAATAGATAATTTTATGAATAGGCTCTCCTGGTATCTTCTGCCCACCATGGCCTCCCCGAGCCCTCCTGCTGTCTTCTGCCCACCATGGCTTCCCCAGGTTCTCCTGCTCCCCTCTGCCCTCCATGGCCTTTCTGCCCCTCAGTGCCCCTCCTGTGTCCGCTGTGGGTCCATCCATTTCAGCTGAACCACTGAGGAGCATTTGTCAAGCCAACAGGTCACAGCTTGTCACCACAGTGTCCATCCGTGGGACTCGGCGATGGCGGGGGCCAGTCTGTGCCCCAGCCCTGTCCCTCCCAGCTGGGCTGCAGCAGGGTCCTGTGGCAGCCGTTGCTGTCCCCCACCCCGTGGTCACTCCAGAGCACTCCCAGCAGTGTCTTCTTGTGTCCAGCATGGCCAGAGAACTGGACACTGTGTCCTCAGCCTCAGCCCTGTGCCTGGAAGTCCCCTCAGCCATCGCCAGTGCCCCTGTGCCCACGCCTGGCCGTGGGTGAGCTTGTGCATGGCACGCTGGGTCCCACCTCTAGTGGTGCCGTTCAGCGGTGACTCGGTCCTGCGGCCAAGACACCTGCTCCCTTCACCAGCTCCCACTGGTTTTTTCCCATGTTTTCTCCACAAGAAGGTTAAAGTTTGATGTTCAGCACCAGATGTGAGTGTTTGCATCCCTTGGTGTAAAGACCAGCCAGAGCAAGTGGTGTTGCAGTGATGGAGACATCTCCTTGGGTGAATTCAGTGATCCCACCACCCAAGTGCAGAACTTGCTTGAGCAACCTGATCTGGTGGGAGATGTCCCTGCCAGGGCAGAGGGTTGGAACTAGATGATCTTTAAGGTCCCTTCCAACCCAAACCATTCTGTGATTCTAGGATGTGCAGCAGTGTATCATTCAGTGAAATTCAGTGAAATTTACCTGCCTGGAGGCAGTCCTGAGTAACATGCTCTTCCTCTAGGCAATCCTGCTTCAGCAGGGGAGTTGGACTAGATGATCTCTATGGTCCCTTCCAACTCTAAAAATTCAGTGAAATTCAGTGAAATTTGAGGGGAGTTTAGTTTTGTTTCCTGTCCACCACTTGGCATGAGGACCTCAGGCTCAGAAGGCTCTGCAAGCTGAGTTTTGGTGCTGTGAAGTTCCTGCTGCTGGGTCTCCTTGACCTGACGGGTCTCTGAGAGCCACAGCTCCTGCCCTGCACAGCCCTGGGGCTGCGGTGAGGGAAGTACGGTCAAAGCTTGAGGATCCATGGAATCATTCAAGGCCAAGTTGGATGTGGCTCTGAGCGGGTCTGCAGTGCCGATGGCATGAAGTTCCATGGAAATGGAAGAGCTGACTGTTGGGTTTCAGAACTTGGCCCTGGTGCAGAGGAGTGCTGTGACACTTTGTGACCCTCAGAATGGACAGAAACTGGGACTGGAGCTGTTCGGACACAGCACGTCAAGCACCAAGCCTGTCATCTGTGTTAGGGGTGGTGTCTTCATTATGCAGGTATAATGGAAAATGAGAAACAAGGCCCAGTCTCGGTAAGGCAAATGCTACTTATGACCCACCTTTTATAGTAGCCTTAGAAATTAAAAAATTCAGGAGCTGATTTTAAATAACTGCTGTAGTACCCTTTTCTCCCTGCCCCAAGTACACGTTCTCCGTTGGAGCTCGTTGTCTGTTGACCACCCTGGGAGCAGGTCCCTGCTGCTCCAGCGCTCTGGGGACTGGAACAGCCGTGTGCGCCCTCCTGCCCCCGCCTTTAACTGGGACACTCCTTTGCCCTCAGGATTTTAGGTGGGAAGTACCAAGGCAGCTAGGGTATTATTTTATTTTTCACTCTGTAAATGTGTTCCCGGTGAAATAACTGGGATCTTAACAATTTGCTCTGCTTGAATTAACTTGTAATATCTTTCACTGCTAAGCTTGGCTGGTAATAGAGGTAACTTGTCCAAAAAAAGCAGTATTTGCAAAGAATAGAATGGAGTATTTTCAGTTGGAAAGGACCTACAACAATCATCTATTCCAGCTGCCTGACCAGTTCAGGGCCAGAAGGTAAAGCATGGCTTTAAAGGCATTTTCCAGCTGCCTCATAAACACTGACAGACTTGGGGCATCTCTCCAGGAAGCCTCTTCGGGGGTTTGACCACACTCTTAGTAAAGAAGAGCTTCCTCCTGGTGCAGCTTTGAGCCATTCCCAGGTGTCCTGTCCCTGGATCCTGGGCAGAAGAGCTCAGCACCTCCTTCTCCACGTCCCTCCTCAGGAAGCTGCAGAGCCATGAGGTGGCTCCTCAGCCTCCTTCTCTCCAAACCAAACTCCAACCCAGAGCCCCCAGCCGCTCCCCAGAGGACATCCCTTCTAGCCCTTCACCAACCTGGTT